ATTGTGTTTAAATTTCTCTTTTTCTAGAATCATACAACATATATGTTCTCGGTTACAGATGAAATGAAAGGCGCTGGATTAGTATTTACTATGTTACGTAAAGTTTTTGGTGAAGATTTTGATGCTAAAGGTAAATGTTCACAAATTGGATTTACAAAAGATTATAAAGTATGTATAATAATATTTAATAAATATATATTTTAATACTATATATTATAATTAGAGTGCTGTATTTGATATACCAAGTGAACTTGATGAAATTTTACAAGAGAAGTGGAAAGATAGTCCAAGAATGCAAATGAAAGCAATTACAGAAATGCCACTACTTGATGATGCGTCTCGATATGGTAGTGGTGGTGGTTTTGGTGGCGGTGGTGGTGGTGGTCGAGGTTTTTCATCACGTGGTGGCTATGGATCATCACGTGGTGGAGGTAACTCTGGTAATCGAAATTCTTCAAGTAAGAAAAGTTATAAATCTTTTTATAATTAATTTATTTTTGTTGCGCCATTTTAGATGCTTGTTTTAAATGTAAGTATTTCTATTTTAATATAAATGGTAAAAATAAAATAAATTATTATAGGTAACAAAGAAGGTCATAAATCATTTGAATGTCCTGAAGCAAATGGTGCAGGAAGATCCGGTAAATTATTTTAATAGAAATTTGATTTTTTGGAAAAGAATATTTCGTTTTGTATTAGGTGGTAATGGTTGTTTCAAATGTGGAAAAGAAGGTCATAAATCATTTGACTGTCCAGATGCAAAAGGATCCGGTGGACGAGGCCAATCAAGTAAGTTCATATTTTAAATCAAAAGATATCAAAAGAGAAAATTCTATTTATTTTAGATGGCGGTGGTGGTTGTTTTAATTGTGGTAAAGATGGTCATAAATCATTTGACTGTCCCGAACCAAAAAAAAGGACGACCGTCATTTGGTGGTGGATCTCGTGGTGGTGGTGGCATGAAACGTAGCTTTAATGGTAATCATGAAAACGGCCATAGTACAGGTGAAACAACTAGCAAAAAAATTAAATTTGACGACAATGATGATTAGTAATAAAATAAATTGATATTCAGTTTGTTTTAGTTACCGTTTAAACTTGTTTTTGTTTGTATTAACTTTGTTGTTAAAGTTTTCTGTTTTTCTATGTTTACAAACATCATATTTTTGTTATGAAGTTTGTAATATTGTTGTTTCATCTCAATATAACATTAAACAAAATACAATGACTATGTCATCTATTGTTATACCATAAAAACAATAGTCGAAAATATAATGCATCTATATTTAATTGTCGGATAAGAATTAATAGCATAGAAAGCAAATGGTATTAAAAATGCACTTGTTCTATGTTGAATTATTTTGTCTGTAGTGAATAATGATTCATATCGCAAAACTACAGAGTTATTTTACGATAACATTTTTTAATAGATTGTGGTTTTTTTTCATTGTTCTATATTAAAAAACGAAATACGAGTCCATTAATGATACATATTGGAGTCTACTTTCAATATCATACCTATTTAATATGAACACAATCTTAAATATTAATTCTTGATTTGTAATATATTTCAGTTCACTTTTATTACTTCTCTTATTTATATACGATTTGTATGGTATCAATAACAGACGATATTATTCGTGAAAGTACTTTAAAAGTAGTAGACCATTCTTTTTTTCTTATGAATATTTAATAAGTGCAAATTATCCTTCAATGAATGACTATCATTTCCCCGAAATATTTGATAAAATACTTTTGATACTATTCTTGTCCATGTATTTGTACGTAGAATAAAAAAATATTTTTTTTGTCTTATCACTGAATAAATCATTCCTTTTCTTTTTATTATGTCAAATAAATCTGTTAATAAAATGTTACTTTTTCATTTTATTTTATACTTGAAAAGTGATTTGTTTGCTAAGGTTCTTTTTTTTGTATTCTTCACTTATTAAAATAATATAGATAATAAACAAGAACTCTTGTTTTAATCAAACATATAATGAAAAAAACGGCAATACTTTTTTCTTTTTGATTCTGTTTATTCATAAACTAACCCAACAGCATCTCATCATAGGATTTATTTTAATTATGTATATATAAATGAGATTTTTTCTAGTTGTTCGTATTTTCATCTTTTCCCGATTAAAAATACGTCCAATGGAGCGAGAAATGTAATAGGTTTCGTCTTTTTTTTTTTCTTGTTGAGAATGTAAATGAAAAAAAAGAAACTCGAAAGACATTGATCAGGTATATATATATATATAAATTACAACATTGGCTATTGTCGACACGCGTCATACGAAGAGAAAAGGGAGAATCGAAAGAGAAAAAGAAAGAGATTCGTATTTCAATAGTGAAGGTTTCGAATACTGTGCCACATACATATTATATATATTCTTGGATGTACAGAATCATATTATATAGAAAGAATACTTTATCATCATTATTTCATTTCTCTCAGGTAGTAGTCGAAGTATATGTCGTGAGGACAAGTTAAAAGAATTTATTAGTGATTAAACAACATGTGATAATCATTCTCATTGTTCAAATCATATCTTATGTATTTTTTTTTCTCTCTATAGCTATGTGATATAATATAATATAATACAATCATGAATAGTTCATCACATCATTTTATGCCTTTAGCAACAGATGAAAATTCCTTATCATCACCACCAAGAAAACTTGGACGAGCAGTAAGTGGAGCTTCAATACAAACAAATGGTTTTGATGAAGAAACTGATTATGGTTCACCATTAAGTAATCATACATTACTGAAACGTTTACATAATCCATTTCAAGCTCGTGTCTATAATTTTCTTGAACGACCATGTGGTATATTCTGTTTTCTTTATCATTTTTCTGTTTTTATTGTTGTTATTGGTTGTCTTGTATACAGTTCAATATTAACTGTTTATGTTGAACAATCTTATGCAATATTATTTTGGATAGAATTTATACTTTTTATTTTATTTCTTATTGAATATACTGTTCGTGTTTGGTCATCCGGTTGTCGAAGTAAATATCGTGGTCGTCATGGTCGTTTATTATTTATGCGTAAAGCCATGTGTATTGTTGATTTATGTGTTATTACTGGTTATGCTATTTTATTATGTATAGGATTAAGTAATACACAATTTAGTATTGAACTTGTGCGATATGTTCGAATACTTCAAATTCTTCGTTTTCTTCATGTTGATCGACGTTTGACATCATGGCGTTTACTTGGTTCTGTTGTTTATGATCATCGTTATGAATTAATAGCTACACTTTATTTTTGTTTTATATTCTTAATTGTTGTTGCTTATTTAATTTGGTTAGTAGAAAAAGATGAAAGTAAACCAGCTAGTGAAGATATGTTTCATAGTTTTGCTGATACACTTTGGTGGGCTATTGTAACAATGGTAAGTTTAGAAAAAAAAAACAATCAGTTTTTTTCTTTATAATATATATGTTTATATAGGCTACGATTGGTTATGGTGATAAATGTCCACGTACATATATTGGCAAAATGATAACATCATGTTTATGTATTTGTGGTGTTGCATTTTGGACATTACCATCTGGTATTATTGGTTCAGGTTTTGCTTTAAAAGTTGAACAAAAAAAAACGTGAAAAACAATTTAATCGTTTAGTTCCTGCAGCTGCTAATTTAATTCAAAATTGGTGGCGTTTAGTTGCATGTCGTCGTTCAAATTTACCAGCCACATGGCGTATTTATCGTATTGAAACAAAACGATCGAATAAATTCGGTCGTCATCTTAGTTCAACACTTGCTATGAATAGTAATAATAGTGCAAATGGTACACCACGTATGCGTAGTGGACATAATTTACTTAATTTTTCATCAAGTGGTATACCATTAGATAAAATATCTTGGCGTAAAATTGATAAACCTGAAGATCTTGATACAAATCAACGTATTGCTATACGAATGTTACGTGTTATTAAATATCATGTAGCCAAAAGAAAATTTCGTCAAGCACATAAACCATATGATTTTAAAGATATTATGGATGAGAATGCTCAAGGAAATCTTAAAGTTATGTATACACTTGCTGATATACAACGACGTTTAGATCAAACCTTAGGTTTACCAAAAGCATATCCACTTGTTTTATCTGATAAAGATCGTGAACAACTAACGTTAAATGCAAAAGTACAACGATTAGAAACAAAATTAATTGGACTTGAAAAACAAACAAATCGAGTTATTTTATTACTTGAAGAATTATGTAAACGTTCAAATAATGAAGGAACAAATACCACAATCAATGGAATATCAGCAAATACTGAAGAAACAACATCGGGATTATGATCTGATTAGTATATTAAATTTTTCTCTTTTCCTTTTTTTCTTTTTTTTGTTATTCACTTTTTTTTTCTTTTTCGTGTAATTAATTAGATAATTTGCTGTATGCAATCTATGTGATTATGTCAATAAATATTTAAAAAAACACCAGTAGAAACTTTTACCTGTGGATACATATGATAATCTTTTTAAATGACAAATATAGTTTTATTGAATGGTAAAGACGTGTAAAAATTTTGTTTTTATGATTAAATGACAAATAAAAACAAGGTGATAGCAAATATTTTTCTTTTTATGATAAGAATATATCAATTTCGAGTACATATTGAGTCAAATAGTATTAGCACAACGTAAGATATAATAAAATTTCAAGCAATTATTTCTTTCTATAAAAACGATCATTCTAGTTTCAAAGTTGAGTCAATAATAGCTATTTATTTTGATTCATTAACTTAAATGATTTTCTTCAAACAAGTATAAATCTCATTTAAATATATGTTCGAAAATGTCATAGACTTGATAGGTGAATGATATGTCAATCTCTTTATTTTTGACCTTTTGAGTATATTGTTTTTGCGATAGAAAGGTTAAAATTTATATGTTCAACATTTTGACAGATATAAACGCTCATGTTATTAACGACAACTACCGATGATAGTTGATGATTGGACATTGACATAAAATAAATATATGTATGAAACTCAATTTTGAACAATATAGCCCGTGTGACTGAACTGCATTTGTAGTTAAATATTAATAATGTCGGTGTTTGTTAGAACAAAACAATCTTTCCTTTTTTTTGACATTAAAATATATAATAAAAAAATAAATTACAATTATTGTGACTTCTAGATGACTACCCATGTAAAAATGGTTC